CTGTCGATGGCTGCAGGAGGCTGCTCATCCCCTTGCTGCTGCAGGCACACATGGGCCACCAGCCTTGCGATGGCCACTGCCGCACAGGGAGCAGCTGCACCAGGCGCCGGGAGTAGCGTGCCATGGCTCTGCTCCTGCTGCACACACTGCCTTGCCTTGCTCAGCTGAGCACTGCCTCTGCTGCCTGCCGGGCTGCCTTTAGTACCTGCGTGGCGCTTCCAGGCACTTCCTGAACTTTCCTCCTCCTGCCCATATCTGGGCTGAGCCTGCCTCCTCTGGCCGTATCTGGCCTTGGTGGGAGGGCCCTGGCCCTGACTCATGAATGATGGATCAGGTTGGCTGCGTGCTCAGGGCTTGGCGTTGCTGGAAGGTGCCTGAATCCTCTGGGTGCACAGTGTGGGGAAGGGCTGCAGGGTGAGATCCCTGCTGCCTGCCTTAACCATCGTTGTCACATGGGCTTGGGAGATTTTCCTGGTAAATCTGAGTTGTGCTAAAGTACAGGACTGTTGGAGAGATGAGAGAGCTGACATCTGTGTGTGTAATCCTGTCTGCCGGGCTTGTGTTGGTGCCTTGCCCTGTTCCACCGTGGCTGGGCCACATTGAATGTGAGACGGCTGCTCACAGATCTCGGTCTTTCAGCTCCAGCCCTAGAGTATTGTACAAAAGTTCAAGGGGTGCCAGGTTTTAAGCACACTGTCAGCACCCTGGGGCATAACGTTATACATTTACTATGCACGGCTAAACACTCAAATACACACGCACGGCTGCAGCAGTCAGACCCAGATGTGCCCCACTATCATGTAAACGTAGAAGTGAGCGTGCACACACAGTTGCAGATGCACAATAACCGTTACCTCTAACACGTGTCTTCCATGAATAATGGGTCTCCCCACCTCCCCCCACCCCTGTTTCCCCTCTCCCCTCTCCCCTGACATGAGCAGTATCACAGACCTGGGTCTTTCAGCTCCAGCACTAGAGGATTGTACAAAAGTTCAAGGGGTGCCAGGTTTTAAGTACACTCTTAGTACCCCGGGGGCATAACGTTATACATGTACTATGCATGGCTAAACACTCAAATACACAAGCATGGCTGCAGCACTCAGACCCAGATGTGCCCCCCTATCGTGTAAACGTAGAAGTGAGCGTGCACACACAGTTGCAGATGCACAATAACCGTTACCTATGGCATATGTCTTCCATGAATAACAGCATCACCCCCTCCCCATTTCCGCTCTCCCCCGACATGAGCAGTATCACAGACTTTGGGACCAGAGTCTCTGGGAGGCTCTGAGATGTGGACTGAAGTTCCTGCCTGTTGCTTTTTCCTGACACTGGGGGTGCATCCTGCCCATGCATGCTGATCATTTCTTGATCTCTGGAGATTGGCTGACTTCACACACCAGCCTTCTGCCAAGCTGGTCCCATGACTGTGAGTCGCTGGAAAGGCACTGAGCCAGCTGGATTTCTCTGGAGGCTCCTAGAGCGTTTCTCTGCGATCCTGGACAACGGGGTTCATGCAAAAGCCATGTTTGCACCAGGGGGAGCAGGTACACAGCCCTGCAGCCCGTCCCCACACTGTGCACCCAGAGGGGTCAGGCACCTTCCAGCAACGCCCAGCCCCGAGCACGCAGCCAGCCCTGCTACACAGTGCCACAAGTCCCAGGCTCCGCTGCCCTGATCCATCATTCATGAGTCAGGGCCAGGGCCCTCCCACCAAGGCCAGATACGGCAGGAGTAGGCGGGCTCAGCCCAGATATGAGCAGGAGGAGGAAAGTTCAGGAAGTGCCTGGAAGAGCCACGCGGGTACAAAAGGCAGCCCGGCAGGCAGCAGAGGCAGTGCTCAGCTGAGCAAGGCAAGGCAGTGTGTGCAGCAGGAGCAGAGCCATGGCACACTACTCCCGGCACCTGGTGCAGCTGCTCCCTGTGCGGCAGTCGGCATCACCA